TCACCAGTGGCAAGAACATACTGTCCACGAGACACTATGTGAGGGCAGTACCTGCATGGGTCTGTGCTACCACATCCATTTCACAGATGTAGAAGCTAAAGTTATTCTATGGAAAGCCACATACTGAGTTCATTTTGGCCAAAATGCCTAATAAATTACAGGAGCAATATTCAAATCTGAATTTTTCAAGTTAAGTTCTATTAGAATCCTAATGGAACTTTTAAAAGACCAATCCAATGTCATTCAGTGAACCGTACAAATGATAATAATTAAAAGTATCTATGTGGATACATACAAGGAAACATTTGAGGTCTTCTTACACTTTTTTCTTTTTTGGGTAGTAACAGAGATAGAACCCAGGGCTTTGAGCAAGCTAGGAAAGTGCCACACCACTGAGCTATATTCCAGTCCTTTGTACACATATATAATTTAATGTAAGTCTTCTTGTTGAAAACAAACAAGCCACCCTAAAATAGGTCATTCAAAACACTCCTTTGCAGTCAAATGAAAATTAAATTTAAAGAGAACTCTCAGATTCAATGGTGATATGTCTCTAATATGGTGTTAAATCTTACCCTTGAAGCATTACATCCAACTTCCATAAAAATTTGATGAACCCCAACAAGCCTATAAGGTGGATGTGGGGCCTGTCTCTTGTATTGGCCTTTTAAAAGAAATCTCCTATAAGTGTGCAATTGTGAGGCTATGTAAAAATCACCTTTTTTTTTGCAGGTTGCTTATCAAAAACAAAGTTTTAGGAAACATGAAAAAGTACATAATATGCACTCTGGCGCCACAACTAAACCCAGAAGGCAACATGTTTTAAGCAAGTTCTAAGTCACCGTCCTATATTAGCTCATGCTAATTTCTCTCATTAGAAGTAATTGTCATAATAAAATTATGATAGTTGTGATCGCTGATATTTATTAAGCAGTTACAAGGTGCCAAGTACAATGCCAAATGCTTCATACATGTTGTATAATTTAATATTGGCAACCCCAAAGAGGTTGGTACTATTATACTGTCATTTTACAGATATTGAAGATGGAGCACAGTGAACCATCTCCCTAGTTTTGGTGTTCTAGATTTGAAGGATTTCTGTTTGTAAGAGGACTTCATGTCTCACTGTGGCTTAGAATGAAGTACAAGCTCTAAAGGTTGACACAGTCTTTAAGGATTTGGTGCCTGCCTGCTTATCTATCTCTTTGAACTTATCACCTTATTTCCACCCACCATGCACCCTTCATGCCAGTTCTAGAGAACCGTTTCATACAGACATGTCCCTGCTATCATCACAAATGCCCTTTTCTCCTCATCTGTACAAACAAGACCTACTCATTCTTTAAAACTCAGGCTATCCCTGAAAAGTCTATGCTAATATAGTTAGCATCAGTTGTCACCTCTCTCCGCCTATTCCTCTTATGGACCGTATCACTGTAATACACCCTTTGAATCTCTGGTTTTCCCCATTAGACTTTAAGCTGCATGATATTAAATATGCTATTTGGTTAAATAGACTACTTGGTATCTCCAGTGCCTAGGACAGGGCCAAGCATATAATGGGCATAAATAAATATTTTTCAAAAAATAACCAAATTTTAAGTAATCACTCTGTTCTTAAATCTTCTCAATTTTCCTAGCCAGAAAGAGTTTGCTCAATAGCCATTCTCTGTAACTTCATAATATTCAAGATGATTAGATTTCTAGAGAAAAAGCAAGAGAATCTAGGTCCTTGTGCCATGACTCTCATTTAGTAATTGAATGCCATTGAACATTGATTCAGTCAACATTTTTGTGGGTATACTTGCCATGTGCCTGGAGCTGTACCCCACAGTGGAGAAACAGCAGTGGACACAATAAACCAACCCTTGCCATCACGGAACTTGTACAACATACTGTCAAATTTCTCCTCATCAAGTCAAAGAGCTGGCCTCGGGTCCTCCTAGATCTAAAATTACATAGAACAATAATCCAACCCTCAAATTTTCTTAAATTATAATATCAAAATACATTAAAAATGAAGTAAAAGACAACAGCAGGCCAATCACTTTATAGCCAGTTTCTGATATATAGCAAAAGTTCACAAATACAATTTTTTCCTTCCAATAATAGATACTTTAAGACATGACCCTGAACATCTTTTAAAGATTAACACTGATTTCATCTGCTATAAAATACTGAAACACTCTGTACCTGTAATTAGAGGGCCCGCCAAGAACAAAAGAACAAAATCATTTCAGGGCAGTTAACAATGATTAGAAAGGAATTTTACCTCCAGGAAGATGAATCGATTCTATATGTTAGCCACAAAGACAGAGAACAATGTATTCTCTAAGTGGATTTTATTTGTGTGATGAATATTTTGATTCATAGTAATTGGACCAAAAAAGATGAAATTCATCACCAGTGAAGAAATTACATAGTAAGAACTAAATCTACCTAGGCTTTCAACCACTTCATTATAAAACTAGACAGGGAAGGTCATAATTATTTAATTTGTATACAAATCTCGGTTGGAAAATGTTTTCAGTGAACAAATGATGTGAGTAATTTTTATAGGAAGGCACAGTCCTTGTCCAAGTCAATAAACACAATATTTACAGACATAAGAAGCACACTGCTTTCTTAATCATATCCTGAGAGTTATTTGGACCAGGAAATCTAACTCTCTAAAGATCAATGTTCAATTATTCTATGGTAACTGAATAGAATGTGTGAGTTCCTGACATGCTATAGTCTTAGGATATACTTATGGATGTACCCTCCGATGGATATTGGATGGCTGCAGTGGATGGCTTATGTAGATACTGAACTATAATAAGTTTATGCATATATTCTTATTATTTATATACACATGTACACATTATTTATATACACATATATGAAGCAAATAATATCAAGTTTGTTTTTCTCTGTCAGAGTCATACTTATGGAACCTAAAAACAGACTTTCTAGTTATGTGGTGAACTTTCTCTTGTTGTACATGAGGAAACTGAGGCACAGACTGGTGAACAAAATGATTGAAATCTAAGAGTTGGTTAGTGATAGAGCCATGATGACAGGAGAGGTCCATTGCTCCCAGCCCAATGCTCTTCCCCTCATCTCATCATGCCAATGCTATCTGGAGTTGCAGCTTACAACTTCTTATTCATCACATTAAACCATAACACCAGGCCCAAGGAAGTGGGTAACACAGGCGCAGTTTAGGTTATTGGTCCATTTTTTTCTTGAAAAATAAATACCTCTGCATGTTTGTGGGAAGAAAAACAGCTATACTGTACATCTGTGGCAGGATGGACATGTTGGAAATGAAACTAAAAGCTTTCCTCATGTAACTAAATTTGAGAGCGTGAATAAGCTAAATTTCCCCATCTGGAGACTCTCAGACTAGACAAGCCTTACAAATTAATATGAATGTATAGGTCTGGGGCCTGAAGGAAATTAGGTCACATCTAAAAAGGAATCAGGTGCTGACCACAAGTCAGAATGTTAATATGGACTCCAAACAGAGGGCAGAGAGCTAATGCTGCAGTTCACTGAATACCGTTAGGACAAGGCTACAGTATATGATGAAGGTAGTAAATGCTTTAATCAAATTACAGTGCAGGACTCGATACTCTTTTTAACCAACTCTCTCCTCTCATTGGGTCCCATTTGATTTAGGAAGTTTTTTTTTTCTTCACTCAGCTGCTTTATGTACCCCTTTCCTTGGTTTCTGAGAATTGAGATCCACAGCAAGGCATAGAAAACACGCTTTGACAAGGAAAATTAAAAAAAAAAAAAAAACATTCTGAGGATAAAATGATCAGAACATATCAGTTGCTTTGTGCAATTTAGAAATAAAGTTGGAATGTGTAGGAACATTTTGTTTACGAAGCTGAGCAGGAGATCCACTTTCTTGAAGCTGCTTCCTTGAAAGCTCTGTCTCATTCGGCAGTGATGCCCTTTGAAGGCTTTGTGTATGTCCTATGGTGAGAGAGTGGCATTTAGGAGTCAACACAGGGGATGTTCCAAATGCATCCTGCCAAGTAAGTGCTGGCAGGAAAAGTTAGGACACTTTTCTTTCTTGGGAGTCCCCTGGGACTTCATCCCTTTGAAAAGGTCTGAGTTTCTTTCAAAAGTTCAAGATTGATTTTTGGTGGAGATGATGAGGGGCAGGATCTTCCAGTCAAGTAGGAAACAGATTCTTTTGATTAAATGTCAGATTAAGAAAAACAATTCCTACATAGGGACAGTTCTTTAAAGGGTATGACTGTGAGAAGAATGTAGATATTTTAGGATAGAAGGTTATGGTCTTGTGAATTTTTATTTTCTATAAATTTCCTGTGGTTACCATGAATTTAAAAATGTGTCCATGTGCTTAGTGTTTCAGATTCATTTATGCAGAATTATGTAACGCTTGGAGAATCCTCCATAAAATTTCAAGTATTATGGGAATACAAAATTTTTATAAATGACATTTGTAAATATCTAATCCTCTCTATAAGCACAGATTCTCAAAGAGTGCTAAATGGGATAGAGTATACCATTTATAAGAGTTCTCTCTTTTTAAAGGGAGTATCTCTCCATTAATTTAAGGGTTATCTTTCTATTGACACAGAACCTCATATATAAGTGATTATTATGATTTAAAGAATTGCAGAGATCATCCATAGACCAGTTGCCCAGTGATTTACTGTTCCTAACTCTACACTGGAACACGTCAAGATAAAATCACACATTATTTATTTGAACACATTTATAGCTGTTCTGATCTTTTAAAGTTACTTTAACTATAAAGTTTAACCAGTTAACTTTTGGGAAAAAAAAACAAAAACCACAAGTTTGTTCCAGAAAATATTTTTTGAAAGGAATCACTTGTATTATGAATAATAGAGTGACAAAGAGAGAGAGAAACAATTGGCAGTAAGAAAAAAATATATCTTTCACCTCCTCCAAAATTCTAGAGAACCTTCATTTTCAACTTAAAAATGGAAAATGTGACAAATGTAAGCCCTTACCAACTTCCCACTTCAGAAGGCTGTTGTCTTCCCTCTCCATTTTTCCAATGACATACCAGATACACGCCATCCAGTGGGCAAGGAGCGCAAACATGGACATGAGCAGAGTCAGGACGATTGTGCTATGTTGGGAGTAACGGTCCAGCTTCTGCAGGAGACGCAAAAGACGAAGCAGCCGCACAGTCTTTAAGAGATGCACGAGAGACACCTGGGTAGAAGACAGAGCAGCACAACTTGGCTCATGCATTAAATTCATGCCATGACATTTACTTTAACTTACAGCCATGCTGGAAAGTTCTTGAAGTTAAATATAATCATGATTCAATTCTATGTTCATTAAATTTTTTAAATTGGTGCATCATAGTTTTATGTTCATTTTCTATAGTCATTTTTATGAATTGTTATTCTTCTGTGCTAAGGTTTACTTTCTCCCTACATTAGAGCCAGGTTCTCATCTGTCATTTTTCAAGCTGGTAGAAAGATAGATAGTCATATGCTAAGATTTTGTGATTTCTACTTTGTCACTTGGGCATTGCTGGGGTGGAGTTTATTTGATAGGCAGATACAGATGTGGACCATTTTTCATTGGTGAAATGAAACCTAGAACAGAAGTCCAGGAAGGAAATCATCTAAACACATGACACTGACACAGTCTCCTCATTTTCTCTGACCAGAAAGAGAATGCTTAAGGGAAGAATGTGGTGCTCCCCTTACATGAGAATAATAGTTATTTGGAAAGACAAGGGACATGAGCTTGGGTGTTCAGATGAGGCAGCTGAGTTATTTTGCTGGTACATTTTAAAAAACAATTTTACTTGCTCCTATAAGAGTCCACAACTGGCTATAAATGTGAATTTTGGTTTATTGATGAATGACAGAAACAGATATAATTATTTTAAATGTAAATATGTAATCTGAAACAACATTCATTACTTTTGGGTGATATTCTGAATTTGTCAATGAGAATTATAAGTCACTTGTAGACAGCTGCATACCTCAAAACACCTTATAAATAGCAATTTCTCTTTTATCAAGTGTGTATGACACCTTCTTAATGTCAATTGGGGGTAAGGGAAAAGTGAAAGGAAAAAAAAAGTAGGGGGTGGAGGCCAACTAACATGTATTGAGGTCTTTCTAGATGTCAGACATTTAGCAAAGCATTTGATAAAATGCTACATTTTCAGGTTGCTCAAAAAATGTAGGACTTGTTAATACTTCATTTTAGTCCTAATTTGATGTTAACTTCCCCAAGGAAGGCACTCCACTGACAAGTGATAAAACTGGGATTCATACCTTTTCCACATCTAGTTCATAATTTTATCTCTCATTCTGCCTTTCATGGTGACATAAACACAGTAAGTTTCAATACACAAATGTGTGAGCTGTATTTAAAACAATTGCCATGAGCAATTAGGGGCAGAGCCAAAGCCAAAGCATATAAGACATTTTTTTTGATGGTAGCAATGCATTTTTTTGGTCCTATTTATTTATTTATTTTTAAAATTTTTTATTGTTGGTTGTTCAAAACATTACATAGTTCTTGATATATCATATTTCACACTTTGATTCAAGTGGGTTATGAACTCCCATTTTTACCCCGTATACAGGTTGCAGAATCACATCAGTTACACATCCATTGATTTACATGTTGCCATACTAGTGTCTGTTGTATTCTGCTGCCTTTCCTATCCTCTACTATCCCCCCTTCCCTCCCCTCCCCTCCCCTCCCCTCCCCTCCCCTCTTCTCTCTCTACCCCCTCTACTGTCATTCATTTCTCCCCCTTGTATTATTTTTCCCTTTCCCCTCACTTCCTCTTGTATGTAATTTTGTATAACCCTGAGGGTCTCCTTCCATTTCCATGCAATTTCCCTTCTCTCTCCCTTTCCCTCCCACCTCTCATCCCTGTTTAATGTTAATCTTCTTCTCATGCTCTTCGTCCCTACTCTGTTCTTAGTTACTCTCCTTACATCAAAGAAGACATTTGGCATTTGTTTTTTAGGGATTGGCTAGCTTCACTTAGCATAATCTGCTCTAATGCCATCCATTTCCCTGTAAATTCTATGATTTTGTCATTTTTTAATGCAGAGTAATACTCCATTGTGTATAGATGCCACATTTTTTTAATCCATTCGTCTATTGAAGGGCATCTAGGTTGGTTTCAAAGTCTTGCTATTGTGAATTGTGCTGCTATGAACATCGATGTAGCAGTGTCCCTGTAGCATGCTCTTTTTAGGTCTTTAGGGAATAGACCGAGAAGGGGAATAGCTGGGTCAAATGGTGGTTCCGGTAGCAATGCATTTTGATTGACATCTATGGAGATGCACTAACTGAATATTTTTAAAATATGGAAGACACATTTTTTGGATGGTTATTTTTTTTTCTTTTTATAAGTCTTTGCAGTATAACAACATAATTTATAACATTTCTCACAACATGTTTTCTTGGGAAGAAATGTAATACCTTGAGCAAACTTTTCTGTTCAAATAAAAGAATTCATCATAATCTATTAGAAGAGGCTAACAAACATATGTATCAGGTTTTTATATGATCATAGGTCCAGACTTGTGGAAAGCAGAAAAGAATCATTGATAAGGAGGATTTATTTTTTCCTCTTTGTCTTTCTTACTGACACAGATGTTGATCTACACTTTCATTCTTCATAAAGCAGTCATGCTAGGTTCACAGGACATGATGATGAAAAAAGCCAAGAAATTAAAGGAATACTAATTGGAAAAGAAGAAGTCAAACTATCACTGTTTGCTGATGGCATGATTCTATAGCGAGGAGACCCCAAACAATTCCATCAGAAGACTTCTAGGGCTGATAAAGTGAATTTAACAAAGTAGCAGTATACAAGATCAACATCCATAAATCAATAACTTTTCTATAATCTATCAGCAATTCAGCTGAGAAAGAAATCAGTAAAACCATCCCATTTACAATAACCTCAAAAAAAAAAAAAAAAACCCTTGGAATTAATCAAACCAAGGAGGTAAAAGATCTACTAAAGAAGACTGAAGAAAATAATTGAAGAGGGCTTCAGAAAATGGAAAGATCTCCCATGCTCTTGAACAAGTGGAATTAATATGGTCAAAATAGCCATAGTACCAAAAGCAATATACATAGTCAATATAATCCCTATCAAAATACCAATGACATTATTCACAGAACTAGAAAAATCAGTCCATATATTTATTTGGAAAAATAAGAGGCCCTGAATATTCAAAGCATTCTGAACAAGAAAAACAATGCATTAGGCATCATAATACCTGATTTCAAATTATATTACAGAGCTATAATAGCAAAAATAGCATGGTACTGGCATCAAAATAGATGCAGACCAATGAAATAGAATAGAAGACACAGACCCACATTCTTACAAATGGGCCAGATATAAATATTGGAGAAAAGGTAACCTTTTAAACAAATGGTGCTGGGAAAACAGAATATCTATATATAGAAGAATGAATTTAGATCCCTATCTTTCACCCTGCATAAAACTCAAATTAAAATGGATCAAAGACTTAGGAATTAGACCAGAAACCTTGCACCTGCTTGAAGAATAAGTAAGGTCAACACTCCATCACATAGGTGCAGCTACCGACTTCCTTGGCAACATACCTGAAGCTCAAGAAATAAAATCAAGAATCAGTAAGTGGCATGCCATCAAACTGAAAGGGCTCTGTACAGCCAAGGAAATGAATAAGAAAGTGAAGAGAGAGCTTATGGAATGAGAGAAAATGTTTGCCAGCTACGCCTGACAGGGGGTTAATATCCAGAATACAAAAAGAAATAAAAACTCAACCCCAAAATAACAAATAGCCCAAGCAATAAATGGGCAAAAACATGAACAAATTTTCAAAAGAAGAAATACAAATGACCAAAAAATATATATTAAAAAATTTCAACATCTTTAGCAGTCAGGGAAATGCAAATCAAAACAACACTAAAATTTTACCTTACTCCATTCAGAATGGCAAGTTTCAAGAACATGAATAATAAACGCTGGTGGGGATGTGGGAGAAAAGGTACATTGTTGGTGGGACTGCAGGCTAATGCAACCACTTTGGAAAGCAGTATGAAGATCCCTTAAAAAACAAGGAATGGTCCCAGTCTTTAACCCCCTCCCCTCTCCAAGTGGGGTAGGGAGGGAGAGCATAGAAGGAAGATTACCTCTAGAAAGGGAATAGGGGTGGGAGGGAAAGGGAGGGAGAAGGGGAATAATAGCATGGATGGTGGAAGGAGACCCTCATCATTATACAAAATACATGTATGAAGATGTGAATTTGGTGTCAACATACCTTATATACAAACAGAGATATTGTGATATAAAGGTGTATTAAGAATTGTAATGCAAAAAAAAATCAGCAAGACAGATCATGTATAATGGCATAATTTGGTGTGAACATACTTTATATGCAGAGTTATAAAAATTGTGCTGTGAATGGATAATTATGAATGTAATGCATTCTACTATTGTCACGTATGAAAGAAATTTTTTAAAAAGGGAAGTATCAAAAAAAAAAAAAAAAAACCAAGGAATGGGACCAGCATATGACCCAGCTATCCCACTCCTTGGTATAATCCAAAATATCTAAAATCAGTATACTATAGTAATACTATGCTATTATATAGCAACACAATGTTTATAGCAACACAATTCACAATAGCCAAATGATGAAAGTAACTCAGATGCCTGCCAATAAATAAATGGATCAAGAAAATGTGGTACATAGATACACAATGGAGTTTTACTCAGCCATAAAGAACAATGAAATATGGCATTTGCTGGTAATGAATGGAAATGGAGAAAATCATGCTAAGTGAAAATAACCCAAACTCAGAAAATCAAGGATTGAATGTTTTCTTTCATGTGTGGAAATTAGAACCAAAAAAGGGAAAGGAAGCAGTGTGTGGGAGCGATCAGGTTTCATAAAGATATAGGAAAGATCGGTGGAATAGATATAGGAGAATGAAAGGGAGAAAGGAAGGGAGAGGGGAAGAAATATGGAATGAATTTAACAAAATCATATTATATTCACATATAAAGGTATCCAAGGGAATTTCACCTTCATGTATAAGTAGAAGAAAGGAAGTTGAGTAGTATTGAGGAGGAGAAATAGAGGCAGGGCAGAGGGTAGGAAAGTGGGGGATGAAAATCAAAATCAAAATCAAATTCCTTTCATGTATGATTTGTCAAAACGAACCCAATTAGTCTGTATAATTATAATGCTCTAATAAAAAAGGGAGCTGAGTACAGTGAAAAGCCCAGTGAAAGTGAAGTATTTAACATTCATCAAAATATGAGAATTTGACTTGTAGAAATCCTTTATCCACGTTAGTTTAAGTAATGTGTATGTTAATTATATAAAAACACATGCTATATATTCTATTCTATAAATTCTTAATAATTTATGAATAATTGCATACCATATACACACATTTAAGATTTTCCTATTTGTTCAGTATCCAAATAAAAATGGAACATGAAAAATCTATTAGTATTCAGTAGCAAAGCAGCAAAATAATTTTAAACAGAATTCTATTAAATAACATTTACTTAACAATTTGCCAGGAGAATTCAGAAAGTTTTTTTTTTTTTAAACATTTTGTGAATTATATACTTCTTTTGCAGCTTTCCAAAAAATCTGTTTTAAGTCATTACACTTTCATTATAGTACACTTATCTAGTCAAATTCAATCTTCAAAAGCACTTTAAAAAGCCCAGATAACAGTTTGATGTAGCACTGATTGATATTAATACACAAGATTTCTCCTGCCAACTTTCCTTTCAGTTATGTTATAAACCTTTTAACCATGTCGACACTCTCAACCCTCCAACTTGGGAAAAAAGAAAGGAGTAAAAACAATATTGTACAGGCAATTTAAAAAGGAAAAAAAAAGTATGCTAAATAGGATTACAGTTTCACATTCATTTTTGAAGTCAATAATGACTATATTTGAAACATCTATCTCTTTGTTTCATTTTGAAAGCTATACCTTTAAATTTTTAATGAAGGATATGTTTTCTATGAAAGACAGTTAACTGACTGGGAGATTTATTTACTTTGAATAATGTTAAAGAAAATTTTTACATGCTGAAGTTGTTAAGCAGAAAACTGCATTTATGATTCAAAATGACCTCCTTAAAAGTCTCTCCATTTATAAAGAAGTGTTTGAAAGTTTTAAGGATATCCATCATCAAATAGTAGAAGTAGCTACTATTGTATGTGGGCATACCTTCTTGTAAGGAGACATAAGGATAAGGGGGTTAGAGGAAGAAAGAGGAAAATTTATGAGTATTAATACAAATTCAAGAAAATTCTCAACTTTTTTGTCAATCATTGTGTCATTCAGGTTTCTACTCCATCCAACATTTTTATAAGAATTTATAAGAAATGACTGAATTAATTTAATTTTTTAATATCAACATTCCTCTCTATATTAATTAGTCTTGCATTGGTTTTGCCAAGGAATAATGAAATCATAGGGAGTTAAAGATCATAAAAGGGGAAAGAATTCTTCAAACTTTCCACCAATTTTTTGGAAGAAAATATCTCTTTAGATAATATAAAGTAATGGTTATATCCCTACAGATGGTTTCCTTATCAAAGGATTTGTTTATTGAGTCCATATTTATGATAATTTTTCAAATATTCTGGGTTCTGGGTATTTGTATGAATAAAAACAGGTAATACAGATTTCCAAGGAAGTAACTTCCTCAAGTGGAGAATGTAGCCTGCATGGTATTGGGTACCCTGGCAGTTTTATTGAGGGCACAAATCCCGGGAAACACAAATCGCTGTAAACATTTTAAACCTGAACGTGTGAAAAAGTAAATATAGGGGTGAAAGCAAGCTTAAACGCTGTGTGGAATCAAGCTCTTGACTCACCACTGTGACGTTGAAAGCGTACAGGAGATCGAAGGGCAGGGCAGCAATTAAATCAATGATGAACCAGGTAGTGACGTAGTGGATGCAAATTGATCTTGCTTCGAAAATAACTTGGCCAGATTTGCTGACATAAGTTGTTCGGAAATTTAAAATAATATCTGCTTGGGGAAAAAAAAGACAGAAAGAAAAGAAAGATGGGGAGGGGTGATAAAATAAAATAAAAGGAAGGAGAAAGACAAGGAAAGAAGCAAGGAAGGAGGAAAGGAAGTCAGGCAGGCAACCAGGGAGGAAAAGAGGAAGAAAAAACATATAAAATTAAAATTAAACAGTAACCTTTTTAACCTGTTAATTACTAATGTTCAAAACACCCTCCTTGATGGATCCAGTTCAACTCAACAAACATGTTTAAGGAGAGTGAAGAAAGTAATATTTTCTGAGCATTTACTACATTCCAAACTTGGAGTCATGTGGTATGATGATTAAAATAAATGATCAAAGCAATAAGAACAAAGATCATAATTTGCTAAAAACTCACTGTGTAAAGACATTGTTCTAAGAGCTTAGCATGGGGTATTTCACTTAATCCTCAAACATCCCATGTTAAAGAGGCAGAAACTAAGTCCCGCTGAGGAAGAGTCATTCATCCAAGATCATGTAACCAACAAAATAAGAAATTATTTGAACACAGATATAATTTGTGCAATACTACCCAATTCCATGTATTAAAGTTTTACTAATCTCTGTGAGAATATGAAATTCATTCCTGTCCTGAAGGCACTCCTGTTAACAAAATACCAGAAATTTCTTGTTTGGATTTAGAGGTTAAATTTTCCCACTCTTTAAAAAAAATATAAACACTTTATGTAAGCATTTCAACTTTTCCATACAGACTCTTTTATTACTTTATTGAGATTTTTTAGAATACATGAGGTCCTCGTGAGTGCTGGTTAAATGACAAATCCATAACTAAGCGAGTCCTTTGAGCTCCCTCCTGTTGCTTATGAATAAGCATCTCTAAGACTGTCCTCTTACTTCCTGGTTAATATCATTAAGATATTTTCCTTAGTTTGTCTTAAGATCAAGTAAAAGCAGACCTCAGGAAATTTATGTATTGGTACACATGAAAGGATAGTAATTGTTGAGCGTTTTATGGAATGGTGACAATAACAGAAAAAAAATTTCTCCATGGAACTTTATTTTGGGGAGAATACCATGGTTTGTTAGTCAAGGAGCGGAGCAGGATATGTGGGAAATAAATATCTCAGCCAATGATCACAGGAATTTGAGGAGTTATAAAACCAATACTAAGCTCTGAGCTGCATAATAATCAGATGGATTGGGATAATCTTTACATCTAACTTAAACCACTGAAAATAAGAACAGTGTTGTATGAGATAGAATTTGTTCATATCATGATGATGACAACAGTAAAAATTACTCATGAAAATGCTCATTTTATATTTGTATGTTACTTTTAATTTTCACTTCATGTTCACATTTGTGGAAGGGAGAATTCTGAACAACTGTCAATGACCTGGTCCTCATTTGGTCTCTTCCCCTGTGAACATGATGAGGTATCATTCTGTGATCGGGTTATATTTTGTGACAAACTGGGAAATTATCCTAGGTGAACAGATCAGGCAAGCTCTCTAAAAGAAGGAAGTTTTCTTCATCTGGTGAAAAGATATTGGAAGTCAGTAAGAAGAGAGTGACTGACATATGATGGACAGGACCACATGCAAGGAACAGCAGGGGGCCTCTTATTGCTGAGAGGAATACCAGGCTGACACCTAGTTAGAGATGTGTACCTTAGTACGAATTCTTCCAACAGCCACATGGGGCTGGGAAAAGAATCTAAGGTCTAGGAAAGAAAACATAGACACACACACACACACACACACACATACACACACACCTCAGATAACATGATGTCAGCCCTTTGAATCCCTGAGCGGAGAATCCAGCTAAGCCATTCCTAGATTTCCTGACATATAGAAACCGTGAGAAAATAAACAGGTGTTGTTTTAAGCTGCTAAATTGGTGGTAATTTGCTATATAGTGGTTAAAAAATAAATAAAATTTCATTATGTCATTTGGTTCTCAGTATAGCTTTGTAAAGGGAGATAATATAGGAATTACAACAAGACACATTCTTAGTATGAGCTGAGTATTGTTCTAAACCATTTATAATCATAATCTCTTTTAACTCTTTTCAATAATACTAAAATGCCAATACTTTTATTACTGTCTTTTCCAGATGAGGAAATTAGGGCATAACAGAGGTCAAGTAATTTGCCCAGTGTCACATAGATGATGATACTGAAACACAGCATTGAATTCCCCAGCTGTCAGTGAAAGAGCAAGATTCAGCTCCAAGTCTCCTGAGTTCCAGTTCAGTGCTTTAGGTTTTGTGGCTTTAACAAAATACAGATACTTCACAGGTCAGGAAGCAAGTTCTGAGTGAAGTAATTTCAAAGTGCTTCATATTCAAATTTGAATTTCCCAAGAATTACTTGAAGGCATAACATGTGATGTATTTTAGAGAAAGTTCCATGTGCTGATGAAAAAACTATTGTGTTTGGAGTGGTGTGATGGAATGTTCTTTAGGTGTCTACTAATTCCTAATCTATAGTCTAATTTTACTCTGATGTTTCTTTGTTAATTTTTGGGGGGAGTCTAGAGGGGGTCAGTGAGAGTGGGGTATTGATGTTACCCACCATTATTGTATTAGGGCCTATCTCTTCCTTTATGTTCAGTAATGTTTGTTTTATAAAATTTGGTACTCTGATATTTAGTGCCTATTTATTTATAATCATATCTTCTTGATGGATTATTCCATTTATCATTATGTAGTAAGAATTTATGATGCTTCAGGATGGTTTTGGCTTGAAGTCTGTTTTGTCAGATATGAGCATAATTACCCCAGTTTGCTTTCAGGGTCCATTTACATAGAATATAATTTTCCATCCATTCACTTTCAGTCTGCATATGTCTTTGCTGGTCAGGTAAATTTGTTGCACACAGAATATTGTTGGGTCTTGCTTTTTAATCCAATCAGCCAGTCTTCATCTTTTAAGTTGGAGAATTAAGACCATTTACTTTCAGGGTTATTATTGAAAGGTATGTACTTGTTTTTGTCATTTTGTTGGTTTTCTTAAAATTCTTTTGAACATTCTGTTTGTTGCTTCTTGTCTTACTCATTTTAAATATTTGATTATTTTCTTTATTAATAATGTCTGAATCCTTCCTGTTTCTCATTTGTGTGTCTACTCCTGTAGTGTGATCATGCTTGTTATTATCTTTCTTCCTCTTCTGGTGTAGGATTCCCATAAATATCTTCTCTGATGCTGGCTTAGTAATGCATTCTCTTGGTTTATGCTTCCATTATCATGAAAGATCTTTATTTTTTCAATTCTGAGGGATAATTTTATTGAGTATAGTAATCTCAGTTGGCAGTTATCTTCTTTCAGGACACATGAAATACATCATTCTATGCTCTCCTGGCCTTTAGTTCTGCTGAAAAAACTGCTGTTATTCTGATGGATTTCCTTTAAATATGACTCGGTGCTTCTGTCGTGCATCTTTTTCCTCTCTTTGTTCTGTACTTTGGGCAATTAACTATAATATGTCATGAAGAGGTTCTCTTCCATTCATGCTATTTGGGGTTTAGAAGACTTTCTTTATATGGATGTCCACATCTTCTCCAAGATTTAGAAAACTTCTTCTTTTATTATTTCATTGAATAGATTTTCTGTGTCTTCAGCATGTAGTTCTTTTTCCTCATGTATTCCAATTAAGCATAATTCTGGTCTTTGACTGGTGACCCAGACATAAATTTGTGTGGTCTGCTCCTTCATATTTTTTCCCTTTATTACTATCTGAATGTTACTCAATCTTGTTTTCAAGTCCAACATACTTTCTTCAACTTGATCTGGTTTAGGAGGCTTTCAGCTGAGTTCTTAATCTGACTTATTGGACTTTTCATTTCCAAGATTCCTGTTTGATTCTTTTCAAAATCTCGTATTCCTTTACTATATTTCTCATTAACAATTGCATTGTGTTCCTTAATTCATTTATGTGCTCATTTGTATCCTCTTGGAATTCATTGAGATTTTAAATAATTTATTCTTTTGAATTCATTGACTTTTCAACCATTTTGATATATTTGGAATTATTTACTAAAGAATTATAAACTTCAGGAGGTGCACATTGCCTTGTTTATTTATTTATTTTTCTATGTTGATATTCGTGTATCTATTAGGATGGACATCTCTTTCACTTTTATGTGAGGATCTTCTTAGGAAGCAATAAAAATAAATAAGAAAATAAAGGGAAAACCAAATAAACACACCAACAGAAATGAAAGTGCAAAAACAATGTAGAATAAACAAAAAAGTTAAAAAATAAATTTAATTTGAAGTAAAACAAAGGAAGCAGTAACAACAATTATTAATAAAAAGTAACAATTTCTTTTCCATCAAAGTGCTTGATTATGAGGGCAAGAATGAATCATCAACCTATGCTAATTTGTGGTTCTTTCTATGTCATAGGCTGTGTGGCCCTTGAAGGCTGGGGGTTGTACCCTTTCTTCTCTTTGATGTGCTTGTCAGGTGACCAGTGTGGTGGTTTGTGACTAGAGCCAGTTGGGATACTTCTCAGATGCCCTGCATTGAGAGGTGAAATTCCGAACTCCCCAGGCAAAGATTTACAAAGATTTATTTCATAGTTCCGTGAGCATGGACTCTTGAGGGCAGGGAGAGGTGATGGAGTCACAACTATCTGTACAGGGGGTGGGGATGAGTGGTGGATTTAGGCCCCTTGCAATCATCACTCCTAACTCAGGTGTTACAAGATTTAGATCCCATGCAAAATCACATGTAGCTACTCCTTCCCTTGGATTTTTGTGGATGGCTCCCTGAACTTCAGTTTTAAAGGGGAAGTGTTTTCCATTCCCTTACATATTGCAGTCCAATTTCCCACCATATATAATTCTCAGTGGGTTAGTGTCAGAATCTCTACCCTGGGGCCAAATTGACTATCAAGGAAGTTTTCAATACAGCAATATTTTTGTGGGCATCTGGGGATGGGAAGATGCCTGGACATTTGATTCCCAGAACTTTAAGCCAGACCTTCTCAAGATGGCTCCATGTTATGGCAC